TGTGTGTGTGTGTGTGTGAGAGAGAGAGAGAGAGAGACCTCTACTTCTTCTTTATTTTTCTTCTTCTTCTTTCTTCTTCTTCTTCTTTCTTCTTTCTTCTTCTTCTTCTTCTTCTTCTTCTTCTTCGTGTGTGTGTGTGTGTGTGTGAGAGAGAGAGAGAGAGAGAGAGGGAGAGAGAGACGACAAGGATGGCGACGGCAGCACACGCGGCGCAGTAGACACTCGGCCCTCGGTGCGGGACACGTGGCGCGTCGCTCACGGGCGTCCGTATGTACGGTAGTGCCGTACGTACGCCGCGTACGTACGGAGGTGTGGCCGTCCGTACGGCCCGGACGCCTAAGGCGTCAGAGGGTCCAGGGCGCGTTCAGGACGGCAAGGGGGGGCGGGGCGCGGTTCGGGCCTTGTCCACGTTGGGGCCACTTGTAGGGTGTGAACGATGACACTCAGAAAAGGGAGGGGAGAGCAGCAGTTTGTCCCAGTCAGTAAGGACAAACAGAGGCAGGCGGAGCTCAAGTTCTGCGGATTGAAGTGGATAACAAAGGGGCAAACACTGCCGGACTCCAATGGGAATTTTCTCATGGAGTGCAAGTTGTGCGGCCGGGGTTTTCAGGGCAGTCAATCGAAGGCCGCACAACACTTCACAATAAAAAACAACTTCGCTAAAGTCACCGCGGAGCAGCTCGCGGAGATCTGGAACAAGACAAACTACCCGTTCGATCAGAGCCACCATCGGAAGATCATCGACTTCCTGAGGTCTCGTGGGTTTCTTGACAATAGAAATACTTCAGGGAGGGAGCAGGCGGGGGAGGAGTCTGAGGGCAGCGATCAGGAGAGGAGGGCGGCCGAGGGGGGAGGTGATGAGAGTGGCAGTGATTCACAAGACATGGACGTGAGGCGAGAGACGGAGCGCGCCAAGGAAAAGATAAGGGGGGATAACGTCGTTGTCAAGGACAACACCCCGGACGAGCACGACGATGACGACGATGACGACGACGATCAGGGTGCAGACCTTGGGGCGTCTCTTGATGGGGGTCTGATGGCCGCTGGCCGTCGAGGCCAAGAGGGGGCTGCTAAAGCGATGAAGGACGTCGTGCAGTCGAGGAAAAGAAAGAGAAAGGCAACGACACCAGCTCCTCCTCTGTCGAAGAAGGGCAAAGTCCTTCGACAAACTTCCATGACAGAAAACTTCGATCCGGCGTGGCAACGAGATTTTACGAACGAGTTCCTGTCGTGGTGGTACGTGAGCGGGATTCCATTCGAGCCGGCGAGGAGGCCGGAGTACCAGTGAGTGAGGAAGCGGTTTCTCGAGTGTCCACCGTATACACATCCTGCATTGCCCACGCACCGTCTCATTTTCGGCGACAGTATTCCACAGCAGCAGCGAGTTGTGGCGGAGATGGTGGCAGCCGTCCGCAAGGACATTGCGGCGACGGGAGCGACCATCCGTGAGGATGGTTGCAAGTCCATCACTAGCGACCAGATTGTCAACTTTATTGCCGCAGGGCCCACGGGAGCCTACCTTTTTAGGACTGTGCAGCGAGGAGGTGCTGTCCAGGAGACAGCCGAGGTGGTGGTGGAGCGATGGAAGGACGTGTTCGACAACTTCGGTGTCAAAAACGTCAACGCCATTTGCACGGATTCTGCGTCCGCGTATGTGGCTGCATCCAAGCTCCTGGCGAAGGAGGATGTCAAGTACAGTCGCATTACTTGACTTCCGTGTGCGGTGCATGTCTGCAACTTGTTGTTGTCAGACATTGCGAAGGACGACACCCCCGGGAAGCTTGGGAAGAGGGAGGACACCATCATCAGGGCTCGAGCAGTCGTGCGGTTCATCAAAGAGCACGAGGCGGCTCTCAGCCTTTACCGACGGTTCTCTGCCGCCCACCCCTCTTCCGCCTCCGCAGTTGCGGCCAGTTCCAGCGCTGCATCACCCTCGTCTCAGCGGCGAGGCAGAGAGCTTGTGTACCCCGCACAGACAAGGTTTGCTACCCACTACTTGATGCTGTAGAGGTTGTTGGATAGTCGTCGAGCGTTGGAGGCGTTGATGATGAGCAACGACTGATTGCGGACTGCATGGAGGAGGTCCATTTTCTTGCAGGCTAGGTGGGTTCGTCATCAGGTGCGGTACGCGCCATTTTGGGAGCATGTGGAGGACATCGTGGAGCTCATGACGCCTGTGATGCAGCTGTTACGTCGTCTGGACAGAGGGGGGCGCGTGATGACTCGCATGTGGTCGTGGGCGCTTGCCATGATCGACAGGGTGGCAAGGGCGAGACTGAACAGGACGTCGAGGGAGGAGCTCAACATCGTTGTTGGCTTGTCAAGCGCGGGTCGATCATATGTTGGAGCCCGCACATTGCATCACCCACCTCCTCAACCCTCGCCACAGGAGCATTACGTATTTTGGAGCGGCGAGGCGCAACGAGCACGCCAAGACACTCGCGGAGGAGTCACTTCAATACTTTCGCTAGCAGACTGGGGGAGATGAGGACTTGTATCAGACGCTGTGCACACAGTTGGCTGAGTTTCTTAGCCGGGAGGGCGATTGGACGTACGGAGGGGTTGAGGGTGACAGGGACGCGGCCTCCTGCAGAGGGGAGAAGGAGACGTCGCAGGTGGGGTAGTGGTGGGTTCAGCACGGGGACGGGGTCGCTCTCCTTCAGACTTACGCCATTCGCCTGACACACACATGGACGTGCGCCTCTCCAGCGGAGAGGAACAGGGCCGTCCATGAGCGTGTTAAGGTGAAGAAGCGTAACCAACTTGGTTTTATCAAGCTGGCTCGTTTGGTGGAGATATCCACCAACTTGAGATTTAGTCGTTGTCAGGGGAGGGGTTTAGGGTACGTTCTGCCATGGGAGGACGCTGAGGAGGAGACAAAGGACAGCATTCCTCCGCCTCGTGACGAGGGTGTTCGGCCAGCTGACCGAGTCACGGAGGCGCAGCGCGAGCGGCAGGTGCAGCGCGGTCGGAAGGACCGCCTTTCCAGGGCTCCGCCCAGCGTCGAGACATATTTCGGTCGTCACGCCACGGTGCTCATGCCGGCTGAGTTGGACGCCGTGTACGATTCCGAGCTGGATCCTATGGCTCAGGACCCGATGGAAGCGGAGCCGTGGTCCAATCCAGACGACCTGGCAGTGGAGTCTGAGCCCGGAGATTCTCATGATGGTGGCGACGATGATCCTAGCGCCGAGATGTTGTGTCCTCGGACGCGTGCTTCCACTACTTCCGCTGCGCAGCATCCTCCTCCCCCTCCACCCCCGCCCCCGAGTGAGCGTCCTTCCACTTCATCCGCTGCACAGCATCCTCCTCCCCCTACACCCCCGCCCCCGAGTGCACGTCCTTCCACTGCAGCCGCTGCGCAGCATCCCCTCCACCTCCGCCTCCGCCTTCGAGTGGTCGTGCTCCCACTGGAGCCGCTGCGCAGCATCCCCCTCCACCTCCGCCTTCGCCTTCAGGTGGTCGTGCTCCCACTAGAGCCACTGTGCCGCATCCCCCTCTACCTACAGATCGTCCAGGACATGGCGAGCAGGGGACTCGCAACATTGTTGACGAGAGAGACGAGGACGACGACGATGATAGAGAGGGGTACGAGGGCAGTAGTGAGGACGAGGATGATCCCGCGTATTCCCCGAGATGTGGACATGGTGACGACGACGACGCCAACGACGAGGGCGGCGATGGTACACAGGCTGCAGGTGGTTTGCGGAGGTCGGGTCGACATCGTGCCGACCGATGCAGTGGTGCAGGCAGGGGGGACAGTGGTGCAGGCATGGGTGTGGGGGGCGCAGGACACACAGGGGGTGCAGGCCGTGGTGACGGAGGATGGGCGAGGCGAGAGTCTACATCCTCCACTCGTACTATGCACTGGGTTGATTAGGGCGCCGCGACAGGAGAGGTTGGCGCAGGTGTGAGAAAACCCGGGGAGGGGCGCCTACCATTCGTTGAAGCCAAGGGCTACGGCGCTTGTCACTCGCCTCGCCCGCTTCCAAGGTCCTCAGCGACCAGCAGGGATCGAGGTCGGGAGCGTCCTGTCACGCTCCCCTTTTTTTTTCTTTTTCATCCTTTTTGTAATTTAGCAACTTCAATCAGCAAGGAGTTCCAACAGTCAACTGGTATCGCTCAACAGTACGTTTCAGCAACCAATTAATAATTCAGCCAAATGGTATCGCACAACAATACGTTTTAGCGACTAGGGAGATAGAACAGTCAACCGGTGTCACACAGCAGCTCGTTTCATCAACCAATGGTTAATTCAGCCACCCCACGCAATGGTGAGTTTTTAGCAGACAACTGTGAATTGCAACTAGGCCGCCATAGCAAGTTTCACAGTCAACTTTGGATGCGCCACCCCACTCTCTCTTTCTCTCCCATTCGCAGTTCTCGCTCCCTTACTCACGCTGTTCTCCCTCCCTCAGTCTCGCTGCTCTCTCTCTCTCACTCTCGCTGTTCTCTCTCTCTCACTCTCACTGTTCTCTCTCTCTCACTCTCGCTGTTCTCTCTCTCTCACTCTCGCTG